GACGCGTGACTGACTGGGTCTGAGCGAAATTAGTTCTACTAGCAACATCTACGATGATCAGTGGTCGCATTTTAAGGTACCTACAGCGAGACAATTTTTTCGTCACTTGTCAAAGGACATCATGGCGAAGGGTTTCGAGCAAGAGTCGGTTTTAATTTCCTGTTTACCCCAAGAATCGACAAAGTGGCGTACGTTAACCTTGACCGAAACCAACGCCATTTTCCTTATCGTTTAATGGATAATTTTAACAGGTAATTTGTCCAAACGTTCATCGTATGAAATGGTAATGGCATTTGTCTTTACAGTAGAAAACCATCGTTCAAGCAACCAATCAGACGCACTCAGTTGGTCAGGTGACTGATTCTCCAACACCAACTTACGCTCGTCCGTATTTCGAGCGTTAGTTTGCCCAGTCCTGCTATCGAACCAAAACTGATCAGGCGCCCTTCTGCAAAGTGGCACCGAATGCCGTTGTAGAATATTCAGATCTTCTTAAGTTACCCATGTTATGCTGCACATGTTTCAAGGACGGTAAAAATTTTCTGAATAAAATGCGTGGTTAAAAAAATGAGTGCAATATGTTGTACTGTGGTTGCACCTGTGTTGTCACCTTCCGTACTGTTGTCATTTGTTTACACAACGTTTCAACGTGTTATTGGATTTGAGCAACTTACGAAGCGTGAATTTAACCCATGCTATTTCTATTCTGGACGTCGTTCGTACATCTTTGTCCAGAATTGCATCACTACATATAAAGACAAGACAACAGAGGCATTCACGTACTATTCTGAGACCCATAATCAAATATTGAGACAGATGGTACAATGGCGTGGGAAGAAAGAGCTTTGGATATACAGTATTCGAAGCTTACCCAAGACTTATGGAACGAGTGACAACGGTAGTTAGAAGTACTGCAGTGAAACAGAATTCTCTGTGCAGGTATGAGACCACAAAGAATCAGCACTGGGCAAGCCTGTGACCCCTATCCATGGCGATGGACGCGCTAGATAAATGTCGATATCGTTAATGCTCATAAAGGAATAAATTTCGCATTGAACACTGAACGCAGATGATTTGTGCTGAAGTAATGAAAGCGGAAAAAAGTAAAAGCAAAAACCAAAGCATGGAAAGTAGCCGTAGAGAAGGTCGAGACCAGGTACCATTTCACTTAAAGCAAACCGGACGCACGACGGTTGTTTTAGTGAGGAGAATAGGTGCATCGTCAACAAATCGATAAATGCGGAGGTTAATCTGCTATCTAAACCTCAGAACTCAGTCTTTCCCTTTTGCTACACAAACAAACGTGGAAACCGACAGCAAATCAAGAATCATTCTTAAAAGATATGACTCAAATAAAGAGGGATAAAGTGAGTTTCATACAGCGTGACAACAGGACGGTTTTACGATAGAAAAGAATACATCTTAACTTCTGTACGGTAAACTTCTTCGCCGACTCTCATAAAAGCGAACAGCAGCTAAACTTTCTAGAAATACGATTTCCACATAAATGCGTCGAAACAAGAAATAAACTGCACGTAAAATACTGTGAAATGGGACATGAAAATTTTAGTTGCCATTAGAGGAAGCTCACAGAAAGCAGGTTTCATTGGTTAGGCTAATGAAAATGAGGTTCAAGCACTGATACCGTAAGGGAGAGGGTGTGGAGATTAACGAAGAGTGATGCAACATTGTAAAGAATGATATGAAGTTGCAAGGAATGAATGAAGGTTTGATCAGAGATCAAAAATACGGAGGCAGTTGACTCGAACATCAAACCATGGTTAAAATGAAAACTTTGAAATGAAAAAGAGGAAGAGGGAAAAAATTTCTCCCAATGAGGGTTTGTTGTTTCATTCGCTCCAGGCCAAACATTAACTACCTGTTTCTAGCTGGTCAGTGGCTTGATCTAAGAACTGCATCACATTTACTTCGCAGACACACTTAGGCTCGAAAGCACTAACAGTAGTACTGCGAGCATGCAAATTGTTGTCGGAGTCACAACCTCGATTGTACGTGTGTTGTACGTGTTTGGGTCGTATGCTACGCATTGATGCTGTGTTGTATCCATGCATCGTCGGTGCTAAGATGTCATGCAGCTGATCTGAAGAAATTGTCCCCATAAGCGTCTTAAAGCAAGGGACGATGTAATGACATGCGTGGTCATTCGCTACGGCAGTACCAATGTAAACCAGTGTGTAAAAGGAATTCGTCCTTCGCCTCATTTGCCCTTGTTCTTCCTCCACTCGAGAGCCAACACTAGCAAATCGTTCTATAACTGGTGGACGGAATTATGGAACAGATTTACCGTACCTTCTTTGGGTCACGGTCTATCTCTCTGTTCAATTTTGAGTATCCATCGTACAATAATTCAGACGAATTTGGCTTTCTCGTGCAATGCGGCCGGTCCTCTCGTGGATATCACTGTGTGATTACCAACTGACTACGAGATTTAAGGCAGGCATCGGGTGCTTATGAGAATATGTTCACAGTTCATCGAGGTAAACCACGTCACCTTTCGTAGGTCGTTTTTTGCTCTGTAATAGAGAAGAACATGAGGCAAGAATTTTTCGTTGATGCTATACATAGCTGTCTCCTATTTCAGGACAAAACAAAGACCTTAAAGCAGAAACGAAAAATTCAGGCAGTTCCTCAGCAACATCATAAGAGGTTGTACCTCCGCCGCACCGCCTGTTTTTGTTAACAGAATTGTAAAGTGATTCCTCAACCGTTAATCATTAAAGTACCTTAATCGCTCTCATGATAATCCACTGAAAAGTTTGCCTTCACGACCTTGTTCTGATGTGTTGTCTACTAAACCAGAGTGTTACGGTGACAATGGCTAGCCTTTGTTCCCTAATTCGCAAACTGCCGGTATTCTAAAAGTCCTCCCAGTATGTTACAGTTCGAAATTGTTGCATTGAATGGAATAAATTATTTTTCTCTTCTGATTGCGATTATTTGAAATGAGAAGTCTTCAGCACTGAAAGTTACCGGCAAATTATCCCATGTAAACAAACTGAATTTAAATTATTCACTTGAAACCAAAGATCATGCAGCATATAAATTAAAACGAATTAGGAATGATAAATTAATTAGTTGATTTTTTGCCATAGTGTCTTGTCACTCTTTCTGTCAATTTGGTTTCCTGGTGAAGGAAACTGTGGTGCAGTCCAAAGTACTGGTCTACAATAAAACTTTTCAGATCTGTTTATGTGCAATTAGCTATCGTATTAGACAACAGCAGGGCTTAACTGCCATTCCTCCGACGCGTCCCCGGGTTGCTGAGAGGGGAACGACCTCTAGATATGGAGAGGTGCGACCAATAAGCAGTCACGAACAGGTAGCGGTGTGAACATTAGAGCGCAGCTGTGTTTGAGCTCAGCAGATCAGGTCCTCAGGGAAAAAGTAACAAAGTTCAGTGGTAGCCCTATGCTGAGGCGAAAACGACCCCCCTTTGAAGAACAAGCCACACATATCCCTGTTGCCCTGTGGTTAGACGTCGGTTTGTCAAAAGCTAGAGCGACAGTTTGGATAAAACCGGACAGAATTTGTGCGAAAGTCCCCAGGCCAATGCTAGCCCTGCCAGCAGGTGACAAAACTTGTGACAACACAAAGTGCAGCTTCCGGCCAAGGTGATTAGACAGTGACATCAACAACGATATGAGTTACACCTTCTGCTGATTATCCTATCGAATATGCCGCCCCGCCATCAGATGGACCAAACCGAAATACGGTCTGATGAAGCACAGACACCGAATGACATGGCTCTACCTGTCGCCTAATATAGTACGGCCACACCAGAACACCAAGCTGTCCCCGTTATTCGCAAGTTAACGATAAGTTGCGAGTTTTGAGGCTGCGTGAAGCAATTTCTTTCCTCGAGAAAACCCCTGGTTAAGACAAACATGGTTCTTACCCGACCATTCCAAGCTTACCTCTTTGCCACTTCGCCACTGGGTCAGTTTTCGAGCATCTGTCTGTTTATGAGCTGTTGACTAATATGAGTGGACGAAGATCAGGTTTCTTGTGACACGCGAACAGACCAGCAGCAGAAGTATATATGTAAACCTTGTTTTAATGATGATCTGCGTCTGTTGTCAGGTAAAGAATAATAATCCATTATTCGTCTGCTGACTTGTCATCGCCATGAAAGCAGGTCGCTCTCCCAAGATTCTCTGTTTTCAGCCTTTTGTCTCTACGGTTGACCGAGTACGGCATCACTGGATCGTCTCAGCGTGTTCTTCGATCACCCAGTTGACTTGTTTGGTCAGCGGAACTCCATTCATTACTCCTGACGTCTACCAGTTGTCACTCAGGGAAAACCCATGGTGAGCCGTTCTTCACTTGGCGTCGTAGAGAGCAGAAATAACATCTGTCAGCACATAGAGAATTGATGAATACGCGCCCCCAAACGTGATCTCAGAGGCAGATCATGCGCCTTCTTTGCTCCACCATTCTTTGCGTGGAACAATGATGGAATTTGTAAAATTAATTTTAGTAGAAAGTTCAAGACTTGGGT